CCCCAAAACCCCAAAACCCCAAAACCCCAAAACCCCAAAATCTTATTATCGATAAAAATTTTCAAGGAAATCCAAAATGGGTGTATTCATACTCGTAGCAGTAGGAGGCTACCTTGCTAAAGGAGTCATCTTCACGAAGACATTTGCAATTTACTTCTTAATCCAGTCCTTGCTGAGCTTCCTCCTGGGTCAGATCATCTGGAAAAAGATAGAGAAGCTAAAGCAAAATCATATGACGGATAAGTATAAGGAATTTCGAAGGACAGATACGCATCTATGGAGTAAGGGTCGGTTCATCTTTGGAGTCACCTTTCTCTTCCCTTTCAGACTCATAGCAATGACCGTTGTTGTTTCTATCTATCTCTTCTTGATCGTTGTTCTTACAATTGGTCATGATCAATCCAAGCCATTAAAAGGCATTAAAGGGTTTCTTTATCGTTTGACCAACAGAATCTTCCCTCGTCTAGCCCTCCTTGCAGCAGGTTATTTCAGAATGGGTTATACCAAAAAGGAAGATTATGATTACTCTAAATGGCTTGGCAAAGACTACAAAAATACTCAAGAAAGCAAAAGAGATTATGCAGTTAGCTCTACCTCTAATCACTCTGCGTGGACCGACTTGTTCATAGTTTTGATTATCCAGAGAGGAGCAAGTTTCGTATCAAAAGAAGAGATCAAAAGTGTACCCCTCTTCGGTAGAGTAGGCAAAGCTCTCAACACTATCTTCTTTGAAAGAGGAAGCAGCAAAGAAAATAAGGAAAAAGTTCTCAGTCAAATTCAGGAAAGACAAAAAGAAACAGATGAAAACAAAGGAGAAGGCTTGATACTTCATATTTTTGGAGAGGGATTTACGACTAATAACTCTCACATCCTCCCATTCAAGAAAGGAGTGTTCTCTCTTGGCTTGCCTGTCAAGCCAATTGCTATAAAATATTCCTCTGCTTACTTCAGTCCTGCCCATGATATCATTCCTATGGGACTTCATTTCATCTTCTTGCTATCCCAAATCTCCAATTATTGCGAAGCCACTGAGCTACCCATATTTGAACCTAATGAGTACTTGTATAAGAATCACTTGAAGCCAGGAGAAGAGAAATGGGTACCATTCTCAAGAGCAGTTAGAGAATCTATCGCTGAAACCCTCCAATTGCCCACAAGTGAGGCTACATTATCAGAAAAACTTGCTTGCAAGGACCAATATCTTGGCAAAGCCAAGGCAGATTAGGCACAAAAGTTTCAATACCAATCACTCTAAATGGGGTTTTGGGGTTTTGGGGTTTTGGGGTTTTGGGG